TCTACAGCTGGGCTTGTTTAGAATGTACAGCCTAGAAACCCAGTTGTTTGAAAAAGCTAGATGAGAGAAAAAAACACTGCCGACATTTATGTAAAACAAATATCTCTTTTTGACCGAATAGAGATATAACTTGTGTATTTTTAAGCTATTTTTGGCAATAAAAGTTTATATCTTGTTTGGTTAAAAAAGATTGTGTAAGTCTGGATATTTTATTTAATATTACTCAACTTTAATTTAATATTATCAACTAATCTGATATTTAGATTAAAAAAGAATTTACATTTTAATTAGATTAAAGTCACAACAATTTAGACCTATTCTCAATCTGAAAGGCATCCCACTCTATCCTCTTTCATTGTTAAGTATGAAGCAGTCCAGTGGATAGACTGCTAATACTGACCTTCCATTAACAAGTACAGTAAACAGCTTTCCTCATAAAACTCCCTACACTTGAAATATACAATGGATACAGCTTGTTTGTGTCCCGTAAGACTTCTGTTTGTGTTTATCCTTACATTCTTAATATTGTATATTAAAATAAATAAAGAAGTGCATTTAATTTAACACATTTTCAAAAACAACAATTTTAAATTACAGCATATAACTACTATAAGTCAGTTCAGAAATGTAAGCTAATTTTAAAAAAGTCTGCAAAGTCTGTTCAAGATGATTTTCCTGATAATTTCTGTGAAATATCACTTATGTGACAGATTAAATATCACAAAATTAGTAAAGCAATTTTACAGCTCAGGTTATATTGCCATTAACATGCTGCTTATGTAAAAAACTCACTGGAAGAACCCTAGACAGGACACTAAACTAATCATTTATTTCAGATGAATTCTAGATTTTACATCTCTTTAATAATGACACACATCACTAGATTCTTTTCCCATAAGCACTTAACACCTTTTTCATTTCAGCTACTTTATAAATCAAGGTGAAACATTTATATTTAATAATGGAATAATTTAGAAATCTTTTACTTGATATTTCATTTTTAGTGTTATTTCTTATAGCAAGACCTTAAATTAATCTCACTGAAACTTCAAAATATTTACATTGAATATTATAAGTATCTTATCATATCCAAGAAAATGGCATTCATTTTTTTACCACATACAATGACATTTTATTAAACAGACATTACAGTGGTAAAGCATCATTACACTGATTAACAACTGCAATCTCCAGAGGATCTACTGTTAAAGTTGTAGGCTATTAGCATGTATGACCACTGCAGGAAGCAATACAAAATGTACATCTGTACATGCTTCACCAGGTCACAGATGCTGTCTTACAGAATTCTTTCCTTTTCTCCTCATACAGCCTAGTCGTGCATGTACCTTTTCAGGCCATGTGTCTTTTAACTGGCCTTTGAGATGCCAGAGAAATGTCACATGTCTCACTAAATTCAAGTGTGGTGAGCATCCATGGCATATCTGTCACATTCTCATTTTACAGGAAAAAAAAATGTTGCTTCTCAAACTGAATGCAGACACGTATTTTCCTGCTGGAATGCTGGCACGTCAGAATGAGCCAGCAGGAAGTGAAGCAAGAAAGCTCAGAGAATTTGATCAATTTTGTGCTGTGGAATCAGGCTGTCATCAGTCATGACAACTTTCAGCAACTGGAAACTCCTGCAGAGACCATCACAAATGGACCTCCCTATTAATCTTGGCCAGGTGTTGTGATTTGTGGCCCCCCAGATCATGGCCTATTATTGACATACTGTGCATACTGCTGACAGCCACCCTGCAATTCACAACTAGCAATTCATTGAAGCTCAGCAGGTGTGAGCCTGGTCAGTACCTGGATGGGAGAGCTAAAATTGCTACTGGAAGATGTGTTAGTGGGGCCAGTAGGGGGCGCTCACCCTGTGGTATCTGTGGGTCCTAATGCCCCAGTATGGTGACTGGGACACTATAGTGTAAAAAGGCACTGTCCTTCGGATGAGACATAAAACCGAGGTCCTTACTCTCTGTGGACATTAAAAATCCCAGGGCATTTCTCAAGAAGAGTAGGGATGTTCCCATTGGCCTTCACCATTCTTGGCCTCCTGATATTTACCAGCTATGAATGGGCTTCCTCATTCTGTTTCTCATCCCCACTGATAACTGATGTATTATTATTATAATACTGTTTTTTTTCTCTTAATCTTGCCACCTAAGAAAAAGCTGACAATAGGCGACAGTGTATACAATTAATCCAGTCTCCAACATACCTATGGCACAGAGGAAGTGTGCTTTAACTAAACAGAGCTTATTGGTTCCAATTCTGTGTTTTCCTTTCTTGATTTGCACGACAGATGACATTCAACAGGTTAAATCTCTTCTGTGTCTCTCTTGCTAATGAGAACATTTGGTATTTGCGCAGCTATGTCACTCTCATGCATCACTGAATGATCAATTAATCAAAATGTCACCAAAAATATTTAAGCAATATCCTTGTAAACATTACTTAAAAATCCTCATTACATTAAATTAACTTTCACTGGACTTGTACCAACTATGACATTGACAACAACATACTAGTGCCTTGGGGTCACCTTCCAAGGAAAAACAAACCAGTTTTCATCCCGTGTCAGTACTGACCCCTTGTTCTGTTTGTTGCACTATTGTATTAAGCATGGTGTAGTTTTAATATGGTACACTCAACCTAATCCAAGAATGACCTAAATAAATTATATTCATATTTCAGCTAAAATTGTTTCAATTATTTTCACTGCTGACAGACTCTTTTCAACAAACAATCCGTGTAAATCTGGCTATTCAGACATACGTTTTCCTGCTCCTTTTAATCTCACTTTGCCAGTATGCATCAAGCAAGCATCCTCCACTAACAGCTTGGAACAAGAGTAGGAGGTTAATGCTGTAATCTCATTTAAAGGCTCTCCAGCAAGTCAGAAAGGAAAAAAAAACGTACAGTACATATTTTATTTTGCTCTGTTATTTCAAAATTAAAGCTTTTGACAGTAAACAAAGAAAAGCCCTAGTTTGTTAAACCTTTTAATATTCACCCTAAACTTCAATGAAAAGATAGCTTATTATTAAAATATAATAGTGTTTAGTTCAATACAGAAAAACATTGTCACAGAAAGTTAAGGATGTAACCAAAAACATAATAATACTAGATGTTGTACAAAAGCTAGTTAAAATAAGAATTAGTAAATACAACATACTGTAGATGTTGGACCCTTTCCTGAAATTAAATTTAATGGAAGCACAAAAAAGTACACTAAAAAGTACACTGGAGCTTTCACCAATTAGCATGGTTTTAATTTCTCATCGTCATATCTAGACATACATTAACATTTTGATAACTTAGGATGGCAGGTCAACGTCAGGCTCTTTAACTAGAGTTAGAAGTGGAAACAGTTTCAGGAAAGTCTTTCTCTATGAACTTGTCTTTCTATAAGCACTGTCTATATGCCGAGGTTTAGGATATTACCAAAACCCCCAGAAATAAACTCTAGCTACACATGCCCACTACCTAATAGGTTACCTGGCTAAGCTTTGTTCCTCCAAAGATCACTACAGCATCCCACAGATCTATTATCTCTCAAGTATCCTAGTGTCTTTAACTAAGGCAAAAATCCAATCCCTAGAAGCAAAAACATCTAGAACTCTGCTTGCCACACCCTTTCATACTCTGAAAGGCAGTCTACCAACAGATAGATCATCACACTTGACCACAGATCATCACACAGGAAATATGCTCATCATGTTTCCCCTTGCCTGATGGGAAAGGCAGAGTCCTAATGGTAACAAGGCAGAGGAAAGTACAATATACAGTACAGCAGACAATATTACAGTACAATATGTGGAAGTGTCTCTTGCCTCAGTACATACCGCTTCTATAACCTCACTGCACATTCTCTAACAATGTGTGTTGTGATTCATATTGAATCATGGGTAGCTCAAATTTATGATGAATACTGTGTAGAAAATAACAAAAGAAAGCAAATTTTGCTATCTGATTAATATCTGCTTAACAAAAAGACAATATTACAAAAATCAGAATCTTCAGAAACTTTACTTCAGGCTAATAGAATATGTACTGTAGTTGTTTCTGTCACAGAACATATATTGGATTAAGGATAAAGTTGGCAGTTTTGTACGGAATCATTTATTAATAATCTCAGCAGTTCCCCAAATTATGTAAATGATGCAGAAGATAAATAATGGGAGAAATGAGTTGCTTTGAGGCAGACTCAACCGATTGTTCCTGAAAACTATATCCTGTGAAAACAGACAAAGGCCATTTACTAGCTTTATTGTTCTAAATGAGATATTGTTTTATTATTCAATCACAACCCTCAAATAGTACGCCTTGGAAGCAACACTCGAAAAATGTATTTAGTTACATTGCTAATAAGATTGGTTTTATTGCATTCAAAGTAGGCCTGGACTAAACCTAACAAAACTAAAATGACGTACCTGTCTCAATTAAGCACTGATGGCCCATGAAGTTTCTACTCTCTCTAGGCCTTTTTATTGTCTATTAACATTAGGAACATTAGGAATTAGGAAAACTAATTGATTTCAAAGAACTAATATCTCACCACGATTTAATTTTCCTCATGGTAGAAGGCAGATTACGGTGGTCAATAAAATGTTTTTTTTCTTGTTCTTACCACCATTATAGAATTGATGGTAATTAAGCAGCAATCAGTAATCATATTAAGTAGTATTAATTTAGTAATACCTATAAATCCTATTGTACTAAAAATCATCTTCACCATATACTGTATGTACTCTGAATTTTTTTGTCATGACCTTTAACAGAAAGTGTGTATCAGCAATACATCCAAGCCTTACTTACATACACACCACGAAAAGCAACCTCTGCAGGAATTATCTACAGCCTGAAACATTAAACGATGATTATGCTGCAAGAAACCACTTGCAACTATAACCATGATGCCATCTTTGAGTATGTCAGATTATAGGTTGAAATTTAACCCCCAGAGGGTACTACAGTTTATGTGACAGCCTTACCTTGTTCTGATCCGTCCAGTACAGGAAGTATCCCTGTGGATCCACTCTTAAAGTCACAGGAGTCACAGTTGTTGAGTCCTACCAAATAAATGGAAAATTTGCATGAAATTCATGCCAAACTTGTTCTGGCCCTGAAAGTCCATTTACATATTTAAGCAGCAAAGGGGCAGCAAAACCATGAAAACTACAGAAAGATAAACAAAAACTTACAATCCCCCTAAAATATTACTTTTTAACTAAGGAAGGCTTCAATCACTTTCAGTTTAATGTAGACTCATTTATGAAATTATTCTCTTCCTAGGTTTTGAGCAAGAGACCATTATTAAACCATACAAAGAGAACATGAACTTTCCTTAATGTTTGTAGGGTCAAACTGATAATTTTTTAACTTGCCAAATACTGTTGAAAATAATTGTCATCAACCTGTGTTTTACAGTACTGTATATGCTTAAGCACAGGAAATGGCATTGTAAACTTAATAAAGAAACTATTCATCATTGAATATCCTCATCTTGAAAAGCAAGCCTAGGGAAATCCTTACTGTGGTTTAAAAAACTGTTGATAGTTTTCAATATGTATTTTCAACTTATATTCTATTTAAATGCTGTGAACTATATTATAGGTAAAAAAAATATTTTGGAATGGAAATGACCAAAAAAGGGGGACTATCCATTAAGAAAAAGCTCTCTGTTTCAGGAAAATGCAGATCAATTTTACTTTACACAGCAGCCTTCTAGTAATTTAACTATTCCAACAGTAATTGTTTATTTATCTTGTTTCGGTGCATTAAACTAGACAGCCCTTAAAATCTCATATCTTGGTTTATCATGTTGTCTTTTTGAGAATAAATAAGAAAAATATAATGCCCAAAAACGCAATGTTCAGTGATGACAAATTTTAAATACTACAGGAAGTTATGTTATTATACTATACTGTAAGTCACCCAAGGTCAGTTCTTCAGATGATACCAACTTTTAGCAAGGTAAATCCAAGATGTAACTCACAAATATACAAAAATTAGAGACTATTAGGAGTGTATTCTGTGGGTTCCACAGGGTGAGTTTTATAATTCAGAAGTGGTTGATTCAAATGTGGCTTCATTTCACTGGAATTGAGATTCCCTAAGCAGTGATAGGGTTGGACAAGCAGCACCAGGATGTGGTGATCTTGACTCAGCAGCAGTTGGGCTAGTTAGTCCTTCAATGGCAAAACAAATGGCTTGCACACACCCTTGAGTTGCAGTGTTATTGACGAGAGCGGTTGGCTGCCCTGCATCCAGTGCTCCAGCCTTCTCTCTGGTGCTGTGAGCTCACAGTGTGAAAAAGAGGCTAATGGTCTGAAATGTTCACAGGTGATGTTTGTATAGTCTCCATCTTCCCAGTACAAGTGAGAGCCAAAGCTGTAGTGAACTTGCAATGTCACAATGTGGATGGGGATTGACAAGTTTAAGTTTCCATTACAAAAGTATTTTTTTGTTATTGGCCCTTTTCCGCTTCTATATCTTTGTGACATGAGCAGGAATGTTTTCAGATGTTAGATGTATGAAATATTACATAAGTGTTTCAGTGATTCATGGTGGCTTTTAATTAATTCTGTGTGAAGATGCAATATTTAGACTGTCTGAACTACATGTACTTTTTCCACATGCATCAGGTATTGATTGCTTGCTATTTTTAGCTTTGAAAGGGGGTGAGTGAAATATGCCTACCACTACATTGTTGTATAAAAAAGTATGTTAGCTAATACAGAGAAATGAACCAGGATTTAAAGCATTGTGGTTGCCATAACAACCAATAAGTATGATCGTTCCGTAACACTTTAATTAAGCGGTGGTAAATTCCTCTTTATAAATTCTTTGCAAATAAATCATTAACACTCAAATATGCATTGATAAAGTACTTATAACTGATAATATTACTCCTTAATACACTTAAAAACAATTATTCAAGAGACAGGTTCTTGCTAGGTTACTGACACTCATTTATTGCTGTGTATAGATATGACAGGTTATAATTTATTAATAACCTGCAAATGTAATTTGCAACTCCTAAACTTCAGTCTTACTAAATATTCATGGTAAAGCTTCAGACTTTGATCATTATAAGCAGAAATACTTATTAAGTCTGAAGGATGTGTTTTATTTTTTGACATGCAAAGCAGACATTTTTTGGAGCGCCAAAGCTCAGAAATAATCATTTTTCCCGAAAAGGAATATTGCTCACTGTTATACTTATTTGGCCACCCCTTTCAATGGTGTTATCTGGAATAATTACTTACTATACAAATAAGAAAAGACAGAATCTGCTGTATATTACTCATGCAAAAGATCAAGTCTGAGATGTGTCAAGGATAATCTCCATTAGCATGGCTAGACAGTGTGCAACACACATGTACTGTATATGAAACCTTTTCTGTAAAATAAGAATGCCTGGTTTTAAAATGTCTGGTCAGCGGTCAAGTCTGGCAAGCGTTCTTTGTCAATGGGTCAATATCATTTGAAGGTCATAGACAGATTTAGGGAAAACTTAAGACCTTTAACCCAACTTCAGCCCATAGTCAGGAATGGTAAACATCTCAGTAATGATGCTGGATGTCAATTTTATTGGAAAACTGGAACAACATGCCATCTCTTACATTTGAGGGAAGATTGCACAAAGGCCAGAAATTAAAACTAAGAGAGCATTATGGGATTATAAGATTATATGAATATAATATATATCAGCTAAGAGTGACCAATCGGTCTTTTGGAGCTACATGTTATCACCACAAGTATATGAAGGAATCTGTTAAAATATCTCAGCAATTCAATACCAAATGGCTAATGAAAATAAATTTTCATTCTGTGAAAGACTGCTGCACTAATACAGATGGTACACATCTATTGCATTTTCCACATTAAAACTCATTTACAGGTCTACAGTGCTTACAAAATTGTTGTGAGGACATTATTTTCATAAGCATTATGATGCGTGAACATATAAAACAATGTGATTTCAGGTTATAGTCACCTGCTACTTCATGCTCAAATAATTAAATTGAATTAAAAGACCTGTTACACCGTTGGGTTACCCCATATTTAAAAATCTCAGATAAAACTTCAGAAGACCATCAGAATGCAGAATTACATGGAATTAGGAATCGGAATGGCTTGTTGCCAGCTACTATCTGAGTCTTTTTTTCTTATTCATTTATGTGAATTACAACAGTGAAGGAACAGAGCTACTGTAACACACCAGGATAGTTGCCATAATAATTCCTTTTATTTTACTTAGCTTTTCAAGTTTACCAAGACAGACCATAATAAAGCTTGATAGTCAAGTACCTTGTATTCAAAGAAGAGGAAAATGAAAAAGGCGGAAGAAAATACTATTGTTGCATAGAAGAATAATACAGCGATGGCTAATAAAAAGACAGTTCCCAATGTCTCACATAAAGTAGGAAAATACTGGAAGGATGGTATTCAGCAAAATGCAAATGAAGAAGGGGATTTAACACTATTAAACTAGAACATTTCCTTTTTTTTCTATTCCTGCAGGTATGAGTAGTTCATAAATGACAAACAAATCTAAGCCACAAGAAATGTAACAGGAAGCTTAATCTTTCCAATGCTGACAAGCTAAATTAGGGTTGTCAAACTCAATTCCTGGAGGACCTAATGTCTTTTAGTTTTTGTTCTACCTGAGCAGGTACATAGTGGGTCTAATTATTTAACTGCATAATTGTAATGTTTCTAATGTGGCTACAAAGTGTTTAATAGCTAACTGTTCCTTTAATGAAGTGAATGTTTTCAGTTGTCAACCGTAAAATACTTTAATAAAATAACTAGGATATTTTATGAGGTTGGAGTTTGACACCCCTGGGCTTAACAAATTGAACTATTTTAGTCTTGGACAGAGAAGATTATAAGGGGAACTGTTTTAAGTACTCAAAAGTCTTAAGTCAAAAGGCAAACCCACACAGTGGACGTTGTCAGAATCAACAGTGAAACACATACCGGAGAACGTAAGGAAAAACGACACGGAATTATAGCTGGAACTTTACACAAAGGGTTGTGGGAGTGTGGAACACCAAATTATAAAAACGCTTAATTAAACGTATCTAAACAAAGATCATTAATTTACAACTGCAGATTTTTTAGCTCTGCCTGCATGGAGTGCTCGAAAGACCTGCCAGCAGTTACATACACTTACAAGATTATTTTAACAAACAACATTTGTTCACAGGTTGTAAGTTGGACACAAGAATGGCAATCATTGTAGTGTAGCCAGCTTCTATTTACATTAGATATGATCCGACTTCCTTGTTTTCACTGCAGCCCGAAGCTATTTGGAACCACTTACATTTGTTTCCAGGAATCTCAGTCTGTGATACAGAACTCCAGCACTTTGATGTACAGTACACGTAATATTTACAGACCCGTAGACAATGTGACCTTAAAACTAATGTAGAGGAATATTAGTTTATAACCTGAAAAATGTGTATTGCATACCTGTTACAAATGTTGACATTTCATGTCTTTGTGGAAGGAAACATGAAACAAATGGCAAAGAACATACAAAAGCACACAACATTTAAATCAAATTGTTGTACACTATCACAGAAGGATGGAATCAGACGATTCAGCTGATCATCAATCCATCCATTTTCTAACCACTTTAATCCAATTCAGGGTTACAGGGAAGCACCAACCTATCCTGGCAAGCAACGGGGTTTTAGGCAGCATACACCCCGGATGAGACAAAGCACACACAGAACATGCACAAACTCACACAAGGGCAAATTTCAAAGAAGCCAAAACAACCCACCAGTATGTTTCTGGATGGTGGGAGGAAACTTAAGCACCAAGAGGAAACCCATGCAAACACACAGAGAACATACAGACACCACAAAGATAATAACCCAGGTCCAGAATTGAATCCAGGGTCACAGTGCTGCAAGGCAGCAATGCTAACCACTGTGCCACCCTCAGCTGATCACACTGCAGTGAAATCTCCCAAATACATCTACTCTAAAATATGTATTCATCAGAATTTTCTAACACCCCCTGCAAAATATAGTATACACATCACAGTATTAAAGAAACAGAGGATAATTACTCTCACAAAAAAAAAGCAGAAAAAGAAAAAAACAACAACATTTAGGCTTTGGAGCCTTCTTCAGATGTGTGAGAAGAATGAGGGAAAGTGTAGGAAAATGAAGAATCATTCTCCCCCATATTCCTGCTCTCTTGCTTTATTCTTCATTCTCCCACATACATGAATAAAGCTTCAAAGCTAAAATTGTGTTTTTTTCTTTCTGCTTTTCAGTATTCCTTTACAGTGACACAGCTCCCCACTTAAACACCTTCCTTATTATATAATTTATAATTAGGAAACAACCCTTGATTTTGATTTTCTGATCAGTTCAGAAGGCATTGCGTACTCCTCTTCTTCTGATGAAGGTTCTGACTTTGGAACCAGTCAAAGGAAACTTTTATTGAACATTAAACAGATATGAACTGAAAAGGAAAGAAACAAGCTTACAATTGTACTGTTCATCTATATACAGTAGCTCTTTTCACAATACACAATATACTAGAAAAGGGTATATCTATGTTAGTACAGTTTTATTAGCCCGAAAAAATCTGAAAATGTGTGCCCTTTTCTGCTTACAGTCTGAATTAGCACTACCAATATTATTTTCTTATATAGTTGAATAATCATCATCATCACTAATAAATACATCATAACTACATCATCATAAGACAGTTAAGCATACTTTAATGTGTTATGGCTATACGTAAATATACTGTACATGCATGGCATGGTGATTACCACTGCTATCTCACGGCTTGATTCTGAACTAGGGTGCCTACTGTGTGTATGTTTGCTTTCTTAAGGTGCTCCAGTTGCACCCCAGCTTTCAAAAATATTCTGGCCAGGTTATTTAGCATCTGTTAACTGAACAGTGTATGTGACCTGAGATGTACTGGAGTCTGGGTGTAGTCCTGCCTTATGCCCTATGCTTCCAAGACAGACTCTGGGCTGTCTTCATCCTTACCAAGGTTATGCACTTTCTAATGATGGATAAAAAATAAACACATTAAGAATGTTTTTCACTAATAAGACAAATACAATGAACTTTGTTTACCATCTACTGTATATGAGCACTCTTTTAACAGTAAATATCTCTTCAGTCTACAGGTATGTCTTTCTAGTAATTGCTAAATCAACCTGTAGCTGATGCCTTAGGAAGCAAATTATAATTTCTGAAATCCTCGCGGTTCTCGGAGCAGTTAAAAGCCGAAGGCTTGTTGCTTACGACAAAACACCATTCTCATTTTAAAAGGATTCAGAAACTGCAGACTATTGAGTGCTACAAATAATCCCCAGCTACTGCGGCTACGCGAGACACATTGACTCTAAATTCTTCGGGTGACAAAAGGAGCTCTGTTCTGCGCTAATGATAAAAATGAAGCCCTCATCGTACTCCAGCAGTTTGCTTGATTAGATACGCTTCACGTACAGAATAACAGACGACGTTTAGATTGATGCTAGCTCTGACCGCTGCTCTCGTGTCCAAGAACTAATGAAATTTCTCATTACTGACACCTGTGTGCTGACTTTTAATATTCAAGCACATTTCTCAGCTTTTCTATAATTTCCCAGCTATTCACTGATTCAAAGTGGAACAATGAACAGGTTATGATACTGCACAGTATCTGAACTGTCATCGGTTACACCCCTGCGTAAAATTTTGCAAATTAAATAATAAATAACATGTATTCATTGTTTGATGAAGTGAAAATGCAAATACTAAAAGAAAACAGGTTTTGCCATATAGTTCCAGAACAAGAAAGGACTGATCGAAATTAGTTCTCCCAGCAAAGCACAATGAAGTTAAAATTGAGCATTGCTGGTTTGATCGTGCAAACGTTATTCAGATATCAATGTGGGGTGGAATGGATAGTACGCAGAGGCTGTTTGCACGTCAAGTTTACACGGTTTAGCGAGACTTGTCAATCTCTTCCACTTTAGAGGCGGACATTAGGTTGTCTGACTACAATATATTTAGAAAATCACGAGAAGCCCCGTTTTCTGGTCGAAAATTAAACATTACATGAAAAGCAACGAGACTAATAAAGAGACTGCAGTCATTCCTCGTCGTGCTATGTTCTCTAAACGGTATAAATAAAAAGTGTGAAAAGTTAAGAGGTTCTATTTCTGACCTTTTTAATTAAAGTTTCTGCCATTGTATAGTTTAATTAATAAGAAATACTTTCAAACGTCCAATATATTACAGAATTGTGTTCCTGCGCATAAAATCACAAATAAACAGCAGCATGAAGAACAAATTTAACATGGAAAAATGCTAAGACAAAGTTTAATGTAACGCAGTTTGTTACTAAAGGAGGTGGCGTCTATTTAACAACATAAAACTGCGTTTTGGGGTATGCTGTATTTGTAAACAAGCAAGTGTCAGCTGCGTTCTATCTACTTTACGACAAGCGTTTGAATATCACAGTGTGCAGATATATTTTACACTAGCAACACTTCTACGGTACTAAGGCTACAAATCAGTAAATTTGCTGCTTGAAATACAATAACTTTATTAATATTATTGTTTTAATTCTTTTTGTAATCTTCTCATGATCTTCACCAAACATTTAATGCCATTACGACTGTTAACATGTAGCTTCGTTAGTCCAAAACGTGGTTTTAATGGTATAACACAATAGCTCTGAATGTACCTGTATGTTTAGTATGTATATATTCATTAAATCTTATAAAAGTTGTATGGCAATAGTATATTAGAATGCTAGTAAATTAACACTTGTGTCCATAAAGGTTGCTGTCACAAAGTGATTTCCCTTTATCTGCCAAGAACATAGCGAACAATACAACAAATAAAAGACAAATAACCTGAATACATGCATACTTACATCATCCCATTTCATAAATTTGTTGCCTTTCTTCAGGATTTCGGGAACGGTGACGGGTTTGAGCTGCAGAGCATGAACTCCAGGCTGTGCCCCAGCCATTTACACATTTACACTTCCCAACCGAAATGAAAATCGAGAATTTCAATTAATTTTTTTTGTTTTTCAGTAAGCCGAAAGCAGGCTTAGGGAGAAAGCAGCGGCGATTGAATATAGAAGCCTCTTTATTTCGCTAACGTTTCATTTTTTATAGTCGCCGATACTGTTCTGAAGATTCTGAACCTAGAGAGACGCGGAGACTGAAAAGCAGAATAGGAGATAAGCGAGGAGCAGCTCTGCGGTTCACTATTGACTGGAAAGCAAGCAAACGCAGTACAAAGTCTCTGCACTGACTCATTCAGGGCACTTCATGCATCCTGCGGTTTGGTCACTGGAATCCAGCGCCTCCTAGTGCATATCAATAATAGCGGCGTATATTGTCAAGCATTCATAGGAGTTATGTGCTGTAGACCTCCACGTGCTAAAAATATATAAACATACTGATTAACGGTAGCCAAATCATTTGCTCCCCATTTTCTTCTATCCGGACACGAGGACCATTGAACACGAAATGTGATGATTTCTTCTTTTAAAACGTTTGAACGTTAATATCATTAACTTACAGTATAATCGTTTAGTAATATTTAACTTTGCACTTAAATTCTTAGACTCACATTACCAGTGCGATGCTAAACCGGTGAATATCATTAATAATGTTCTTGTCTTAGTTAATGTGACGGCTATGATATGACACTGAAGATGGACATCTTAAAGAATGGCAGCGCATTTACTACCATTATTTGCACTGCTGGCATTAATACAATCAGCCCATTGTTGATTCATGATGTAAATATCACTCCTTTTTGTGTGAAGGGAAATACTGCCAGCTTTTCCCAAGAGCATTTTTGTTCATGCACAATGATCTAAAGAGTCTCCTCTGTGGATTTACCGAGTTCCCAAACTGAAAGGGGTGCAGGCTGTAATAAGAATGACGGACAATCGTTTTGAGAAGATAATCTTATTGTGCTTTGCTTGCGTGTAGCACAGTTGTTGGATGTCTTATGTTCAAATTAACTGTTTACAGTCATGGGATCTACAATGAACAGTGGTGGCCAGGAACGTATTGCAATAGTAGAAAAAGAAGCATCTCTGTGCACTATAATAAGGAGTATATTTTTGCACCTCCCTGTACTATTAGAAAATTTTCATTATATTCACAGTTACTTTCTATGCTGAGATGATTTAAAAGTTTTACATGACTCGTTCCGTCATTTTAAATCTAAAGCGCAAACAGAGCTAAAAAATGGCATCAACATGCTGCGCGGCTTAGCATCGTTTTTACCTGTGAGTGATGTAAGACAGCGCCATTGGCTTAAGTAGGTTGTTTCGGCAAATCACGTTTTTCCCTCACCTGTCCAATTAGTTGGTGAGGTCTGGTGGGGACAGTGAAACTAGCAAGGAATCAGTTGCAATCAGGTGGTCATATTTAGTTTTGTCATGTGTACAATTGCTGCCTGTACCACTGTTAACTGAAAGAGTAGCACTGATTACATAGTTACTTAGATGCATTTGCTTGCACAGAAGAGTCTTGAATCATGCTTAAAGAATGCTGAAGTTTGTCTTACGTTAAGCTTGGAACAAAAATATGATTCCAACAAAATCTTGGCAATATGTGATCAGATACAGAAAAAGATTTTAGTCAAGACAACCTGTGTACCAATTGGGAAAAATATCAGCTACATCCCATCATTTTACATTTCATATACTGTAACTCTTGTATTTTTGTTGTTTAATACAGTATGTTTGATTTTCTGTGAAAAATATCAATCTACTGTACTTATAAATTGCACAGTGTTACTGTACATATACATCTACCGCCTGTATACAATGTATAGAATACTACTTTTGTGATGTCTCAGATGAGCAAACCACTTCAAATATATGGTGAAAAACCACCTCATATTTAAAAGGAAAATGGCTATCTCTAGTGCAAGTTCTCAAATGGAAGAAAGTCATTAAAGGCAAAGTCTAAATGGAAATAAACCTCTAGGGTTTTATTTATTACAAGCTGTCAAATATCCTTAAACAGCCTTCCTGTGTGTTCTCTTGAGCATCACATCAAAGGCATAAATGACCTGTGTTTACACAAAAATAGTCACCTCCCTTTTCAGTCAACAGACTTTTTGATATTCAATCAATACAGATAGAACAAAAAAACATGCAGGAAAATGCACATTTATTTTTAGATGTGTTTAGTTTTCTTTACTTAAAAATGTTGATATAAAACGAGTCGGAATAATCTCCCCATATTTTCAACAAGCAATATAATCCCCGTGCTAAAATGGGGATTTGTTTCACACTAGAGATCAAAACAAGTTTTTTGAGTTTACTAAATAAGCAAATGTATCAATTGCTATAATCAGGGCATTTTCATTTTGTATTTTTGTTTTGTTTATTGTATTGTACAATTGCTGTTGTTACATTTGGCAATAATATTAGATTTAAAATAACAATTTAAAATAATCCCTAACCAGAAGCTAACCATACATTCTACAAATACATAAAGCTAAAGGTTAAAAAATGTGTAGTGTATACCATATTCTCACTGAGACATTCCCAACATGGTTGACTGGCAACACTCATTGCAGCCAGGTGAGCACACTAAGTAATATCCCTTCTCCACTATGTACAAAGTCCTAAGACACTGGTATTCACTACTGGTCCTGCAGCACTGCCATGTTTCTCAGTCCTCTATTTTCATACCACTTTGAATGCTTATACTTTTCTTCAACTCAATTATTAGTGACCTAAAAAAAAAACAACAACAGGTGAACTACAGCCCTCCAAGACACTGAATCGAGTGTCACTGCCTCAGGACTTAGCAGCAACACATTTCCCACTTGTGACTTCTGATGCTCTGCAACGAACTAAAACACATCTTTGCAAGCACCTCTGGTGGATTGGTTGAAGAAGAATCCTTCCAGAAATGAGAAATATTATTACAGCTTGCATTTTTGCATTTTGCATTGTTTAATATGTTTGATTTTCTGTCCAAAATATCAAGTGTATACTTATGCAGTAAGTGAAACATATAGTAATTACTCACTGGTACTGTATGTAACCTGTTGCAATGTAATGAACTCATGGCAATAGTGTTGTTTGGTACCAACCAGAACATGTCTCAGGTGGGGGCCCTTATTTTCTTTTGCCACAGTTTATTTTAGGCTCAGGCATTACCATCCCCCTGGAGTGGATCTTGAATTTTAGCTGCCGTTCACTGCTTTGCCCAAGTCTGGAGCACTAACTTTCTATTACTGAGGCATGTAGTCCATAAATGTGTTGGAGATCAATGCATGGAATTGCAGTGTAGAATTATCATTCATTTGTTGTGGCTAGTCATGACACTCCCCCTTTGACTGTGTGTGAATTTATGCAAACTAGTGATTTGTACAAAATGTTCCATTATCTATCAGGCTCGCTTCCTGATTCAATGCAGCCACTTTCTCATGGGAGCTTGCTATGGTTTCTTCATTATCACTCAAACTGAGATCCTGTTCAGCTCTTCTTATATGGTCGTTTATCATTGCCCATCTATGGATGATCAGTAACATTCATCTTCCTGATGAGCTGTAAAAGGTCTTCATAGTTTATTTAGTGCCATTTGCATTGCTTAATCTGGGGGTCTTGCCACAGCACTTATCTCAAGCATTTTTCTTTCACTTCAGCAATGGTTTATCACAAGGCAGTGTTACATTTAATTCCAAAGAGTTCTTTCCCTGCATGTTGGCCATTCACTTTGTGGCAAGTTTCCAAGGAGACCAGCTGAACTTTCACACCAAGTCTGATGAAAACCTCAAAGCTATGTGCTCTACACAGTACATGTACAGTTCTCAGCTGGTGTCACGGACGTCCAAAGGGACTAACCGTGGGGAGCAGGAGAGCGGAAAAGACCCATATGCGTAGCGGCGAGATGGGAAAAAGGCCCGGGCTCATTAGTGCAAAGAGTTCAGGAATGCCCTATAGAAACCTATGCCCTCAGGGAGCGGACGTGGGGCGCCCTGGTGCTAGGCGGGTCTCAGGACATCCGAACGTCAATGCTGAGTGAGGACCGAGTGCAAGACCCGGAAATATATAGCCCAAGGGAAAGAGAGGGACAGGAAGGACAGCAGACCAGAAACTAGGGACAGGACAGAGAAGGAGCGCCCTCTGGCTGCAGAGGGCGTGACAGCTGGTGGCTGGATCATTGCTTGGTTGTCTTGCAACTACCGCCAGTGTCTAGGCCTGATGGTTGGCTGCTTGTTTATAGTTTAGATTTAAGAACCATGGTTTGCTCCAATGTATCTCAATCAGTAAAGGCTCAGCTTTGGAACATCATGTTTGATGGAAACAAGGTTGATCGCATATGAAGTGCAACCAGAAATTCCAACATGCTAATGTGGGCTTGCTGTACTTTCAGTGAATATCAGTTTACTTCTCCAGTCAATAGCTATTCTCTAGGGCTGTGATCCATAGTTCTGGAGAAACTCTACATCTTCTGGATGCAATTACAACCAAAGTCTTAATCTATTAGGTTAGTTGAGCTTTGCCTGTTTAAGAATGTTTTTTTCAGCTCATAAGAAGTTTAACATAGCTAGTAAGTAGTATCAAACCTGAAATGTAAGTAATTTAATTTCTGTAGAAAACAGTTGTTTTAATTGATAGTGTCATTCTGTAGTAATGTCAGAACATCACTAGTTGGTCACCTCTTTCAAGTTGCTTAGTTAAAGTTAAAAACTGGCCTCTATTAATTAAAATGCTTTGTCACCAGATCTGCCAACTTAAAACAGAATTTTGAAAAAAAGACTGTGTTCAAAATATCTACTAAAGTGAGAAGTTTCATTACAGATATCAATTGGTCTCAGTGATTAAGAACTTGGTTGAAATGTTTGGGAGACTTTTCTACACTGCTCTCATTCTCCCAGTGGTGGTACAAAGGTCAAATTGGTAACCAAATTCATTAGCACTTAGTGTTTTCAAACAGGAAGAGTGGAAAAGAAAATAATTGCAAACTTAAAAAAATAATGATAAATAATGATAAACTGGATTCTCATTTCAAACATCAGCAATTTCCAGTTTACTGGAAACACTGTAAACACTGAGTACAGTGTACTAAACACTGAGATGTTCGCCAAGGAAAAACTTAACATTATGCTTCAGGCGGAGGAAGGACAAATGTCCATATTAAACGAAAAAAGTACAAGCATAGAAGGGGCAGAAGTGTTTTAAGTGGTAGAAGAAGATGACAGAATATTTATATCTTCCAGACAATATGGGGAATCAATAAAAAAGGCAAATAAAATGTAAAAAGTGT